TTTACCCGGTGATTGTTTTGAGTATATATTTGCATTGCAAATAGATAATAATATATGTAAATGTGTAAAACTCGAGTTCTGGTTGTATTTTACAGTTAACGCGGTAGGTTTTTGCCATAGAGATTTTACTTAATAATAATATATACAAGTCAATGCACAACAAAATATTCTAAATGGCATTTATAAAGCGCGCCATAGAAATTTGTTGAGACCAATCAAGTAGGTATATTAGTAAAAGTCTATCAGATTAAGATGTTATTCCGTTGGTCTTATAATAAATTACCAGTGTTTTTTTTTTTTATATAAGAGTCACCATTCTTTTACTGTAGAATGATGACATTTCACAACTATGGCTGAGTCGAGTACTATTTTTTCTTTACAAGGGTTTTATCAAAATAATAATACTAATACATCTATTTGCACGGTAGAAATGTGCATTGGGACATATACTCATAGTTTTGCTTTATCTGATCTATTTTTTTTATAAAGTGTGCGTTGATAATTTAAATTTAAAAAAATAGGCAATAGTCATCAAATTTTAAATGTCTATTACTTTGAAGTACATTTTTTATTTCTTCAGTTTCAAAATAATAAATACAAATAGCATTTGGCTGGCTATATATTTCAAACAAATGTTTCTTGATCTGAAAAACCCAAAAATTAAAACAAATTTTACATTCGACAGACTAAAAATTCTCAAAAGACAGAAGTTTCACTAGGGAAAATCTGTCGACCTTAAGAAACATCAAGAAATTGTTTTTTGATTTTATTAAAAACTTAAACTGTAAAATTGTAAAACATTATATTACACTGGTAGTTAATTGTATTTTTTGAAATTTATTTAGTTGAAAATGTTTTTTATAACACAAACAATATGACAAACTACAACAATGTCGATGGCAGCTTTTTGCACGATGCGAGTGATTTTATCATATTGATCTAGTGATAAATATATATGTCTAATGTCTATGGAATTTATTGATATTCTATCCTACAATCGCCATCGCCCTCGATAGACTCTCGATAGTGGTAATGTTTTCCACATAACTACAAGGTATATTATTATTAAACTTACATTGCACTTGACAGATTGACTTTTTCAGAAGCTATTTATTTAGACGGGTTTTTTCCGGCGTTGTAGACCGACGATACCTTAGGGCATTGTATAATATGTATTTTTTTCGCTTTTCTAAACTCTGCACTGATAATGGTGGTAATGGAACGATATCGTGTGCCTCGGCTATTGTATGTAGTACAGCCTATACACGTGTGAGATGGTCCACACGACGGCGGTGGTGCCACGCAGTCTATACCGTCCGAGTCAGCTGACGGGGGAAACCCCGGATTATACGGAGCGTTTGTAATGACCACGCGCGTACGTCGCCGGACGGTTTGATTGGATTTCGCACGTTTCTTACAACCGCTCCGTACACCGCGGACGATTTGACGCACACGGCGAGGTATCGACGACCTCGTCCGACGACCGCGAATTCTTCCACCGCCTCTGCGAGTGTGTTAAATATATATATATTATATTATAAAATATAGCGTGTAACCGCACCACGAGTACACACGGATTTATTGAGACGATTTTTTACGCTAAAAAAATTAAAAAAAAACATTTCCAACGTGGCTACGCCGGAGGTCCGTCCGAAATTATTACACCGTCGATTGGGTTAGATTTACCACCAAAAAGCCGGATAGGGCACTTCAGGAAAATAAACGTTAATTGTGATAGAAATGTGCTAATCCGACAGGTTAAATAAAACCACATGTGATTCTGTGCTATCAGCTTGACTTGTAATTGTTATAAACACGTGATAACAGTTATAAACATGTGATAAGGTTCTAGTTCCCACAAAGATGGCGGAAAATGGAAATTTCAACTATCTCTATTGACGGTATGTACACTTGACAATTTAGTTTAATGTATATATGTATCTGTGGTGTACTCTAATGACCGAAAAAATCAAACAAATTTTAATAATCTCATATCGGTGTGGTCAAAGAAACGTTATCGAGCATCTGTAATGTGCTCAGACCGCCATAATTTGATTTGCGACAACCGAGTTCTCAACGCCTATCTACAGGGTGGTCCATCTCATGTAAGACTATAATTTTTATACAATTTTTTTTCTCCTAAGCTTGTAGGTAGATATTTTACTTTTATTTTATACACTTGACAATCTAGTTTATTGTACATATGTATCTGTGGTGTACTCTAAGAACTGAAAAAAGTAAACAAATTTTAATAATCTCAGATCAGTATGACCAAAAAATGAAAAAAAATAATCCTTATGCTATCACAGTGTGGTCAAAGAAACGTTATCGAGCATCTGTAATGTTATCACCATCGCCAATCGTTAATAAACTACTTGTTATCAGTAATTCTTATCAGTTTACGTTATTATTTTAAATAGCGTGTACAATATTTTCGGCATTATAATTTTGGCCTTACTGCGTTGAGTTCGGTTAGATTTTGAAGGTAAAAAAAAGGTTGGAGTTAGGTTAGGTTTAGGTTGGATTTAGGTTAGGTTAGGATTAGATTTTTGATTAGTTAGGTGGCGCTCATTGAATTGGCTCCTGATAACAAGTGGTTCTCAAAATATACGTGATATGAAATTTAAAAAAAATATTATACATGCCATTCATGTTACACAATCTTACTTATCTTATATCACTGCTATATGTGACACATACGGACACAGTGTTAGATTTAACTGAAAATAATCTAATCTTTAGTCAGCGGTTTTAATTACCGCATCAAAACAATCTACAATTTTCTAGATGTAAGTACTATAGTGTGTTCAAGCTGATAGTATAATCATTTTAAACTGCTCTAAAACAGAAAGACCACACAGGAAAACTATTTGAGATAAAAAAAACATTCTTAGAAAATCAAACTCAGCAGTATGACACGACGGTGAAATATCTAGATTTCATTGGGTACATACAAACGTTAGCCACTGAGAATTTAAATTAATTTTAAACCATTAATTCGTTTTCATACTTATGCTACTTTGTACATGACTAGGTATATGAAATTCTATTTTGTAAAAATATCCCAAAATAATATTGTAATAATTTACAATTTTAGTATCCAGTTTGTTTTCGGAATACATTTTGAGAGAGCCATTGAAGTCTTAGGAGCCAATTCAACAGTGCCTTTAAGAGGAGCAGCTAGAAGACTAGATGGGTTTTGGGAGAGAATTCAATTAGACTTAAGTTATATTTGGATTAGATGGGTAAGCTTAAGGAGGCGACTAGAGTAATTCTGTCAGTCCTCTGCTGAGTTCTGGACATACTAAGAAGTATAAAAAATCTAATTTTAGTCACACTTGTCATACCATATTGAACTGTACACAATGGCGCCTTATTTTTTCGTTGAAGGTATTCTGACAAAATAAATACAGTTGCACTAGTATTCGTAGAAATTAGTTACGAATAGTAATAATTTGAAATCTACACTAGGCATATAATATTTTGTGTTTTTCTTGGTTTGATGCCAGGCTCGAATGTACATTGAGTATTTGTTCACGATTTATTATACACTGGCATTGCCGCCAAAAGAGTAATACGATTACTTTACGGTGAAGAATCTTGTATTACGTGTACACGCTGATAGTTGATACTTTACCCGGTGTGATTTAAGTTTTACTTTTTACTTAATTAATATGATTCGCATTCCCAGCTGAAACCTGCCTCGACTTGGCGTGACCACATTCTAGAAATGAAAGTATCGTACAGCAAATTTTGTTATTTCAACAAATCATTTTTATAATAATATAAAGAACTCATAAAGAATTTCTGTTTTCACCAGCGGTCACACTGAATCCAGGAGGGTTTTGGCACAAAGTAGATTAAATCAGAGGGGACACTGTAAACAATTTTTTTTCTCGAATGGAGGCCGCCATTTTCTGATTTATCCATTCTGATTGATAAACGAGCAGTACATATTATCACAGTGTTAAATTTTGAACTAAAACGACAGAACATTATTTCAAATGAGCTGTTTGGTAACCGTTATCTATAGTTATCTGTTTTTTAGGGTATCGTCTGAAATGTGATCTCTTGTCGGGTGTTTCTTTTAAACACAAGGTCGGCAAGAGAGTAAGAGGGGGGGGGGTAGTTTTTTTAAAATATTATTTGTTATACAGTTATTATCAAAACCGTCGTTTCTTTTGTCCAGAGTGACGTCCGATTAACATAGACTAACGGCACGTCATTTACCAAAAAAAATCACAATAGTGAATATACTTACTACAAAAAAAAAACATATATATGATAATGTTGTCTGTGTGTATTGCGCAACCGCTTTTTTATTGTTATTATTAATTTTATTCGGTATATTTTACATTACAATGGAAGAGACGGGGGAAAACCTGGCGGTGAAGAAAAATATACAATATTCCATCGGTAAAATAAATGTACAGGAAATTGTCAGTTGTTCATTGTCGGATACACAATGTCAAGCCGTTTGTAACGGTAGCCACTGGCTGTATTATGAGATAGATTATTTTCCCATTTATATTTTTGTCTTACCGCTTTTTTTCTTATGCAGTAGCATGTATGTTGCACGTATGTGTTGTGAAGTAAGCGAAAAGGCGACCAGTGCAGTGTGACCAGAACGACGAAGTTACATTTCTCTGGTACTTAGTTTTAAAATTTTGTTTCACTACTGCAACCGTGTGGTACAAAACGGTATAATATTATTTACCAGTTATAATATTATCATATGAAATTCAAATTTATCCTTTGATCTGTACAGGTTAAAATGCGGTTCTCCTTGAACATTTTTTTGTTAGTATTTTATTTCTTTTAGAGTAGTATACGTTTTTTTTAAAGTATAATTACTAATATATTTTGATTATGATAAAAACAGAAATAGTAAAAGAAGGAAGACTTAATAAGAGTGTATAAAATACTTAATATACGTTTTATTTTAAGTATTCTACATTAGATTTGTGTAGTCAATAAAACGTATAACTGTATAATCTCACTTTTAATAACGCCAACAGCAATTGAATCGCATCACAGTCCACAAGTGTTTCGCATTTGTACTCGAAAAAGCCCTGAAATCATATAATAAACCTAGTGTTAAACAGCTGTATTATTTTTGTAATGTGTGTTGGAACTTTGTTTAGCATTATCGGATCTCAGGAATCAGAAATTTAAAAATTAATAATGGTCCTTGAATGGACTACCAAATGTTTTTTTAGGATTCGTTTCTTCATAAGCGTTTATGCGTCCTGCACGTTATCTTATGTGTTTTATCTAAGGAATCAATTCCGTGGGGCATATTAATTATTCCCAGAAAATTTCGCTTGTTCCCGAAATTGCTTTTCGAGGAATATTTCAAACAGCACTTCACTGTCTGTCGCTATAAATCCGTCAACCGCAACCGGCCGAACAACAACAGTGTCCGATTTCAGTCGCTCAAAGACACTCTAGGATTATAAAACATTAATTAAGACGAGTCCGGCCGTCAATAGTAATAATAATAATACACGTATACAATTCGCGCTGCGTTCAGTTTGATCCACAGGGTAAAAAATCACCGAGCTCAATCATATATTCAGTATAATCCTCATCAACAGCTATACAGATCAATAGATAAATTCGAATAGTATAACAAATAAATCATTTTCGCTGTACACTTTCATTTTCAGTGAGATATAGGAGATAAGAGATAAGAGATAGTAGATGAGAGATAAGAGATAAGAGAGGAGAGATAAGAGATAGCATATGCACGATTCAATGTTTTTCTTCTGAAACTAACTAATTTCCTTCGTTTTGGCTCCTTCCACTCGTTACACCGTTCGGCCGTCTCCGGTGGTTGAACACATGCGCGGTCACTGTACCGTAGAACGATATAATAAAGGTTTGAAAAAAAAAATAACCCCGACAAAATAATATTAACGCACCATCGGCGTTCACGAGACGACGACGTGCCTTCAGCTGTCGGTGGTAATTATTACTCCATTACTTGTTTACACGGTTAATTATACATGCAAGAAGGTCTCGAGCATTCCCCCTTGGCTCTCACCTTCTTGACCCGTCTAACGTCTAACCATCCGCCTTTGCCCCCCCCCCCCCAGGTGGTCTACACCCTATACTGTACAATAATACCCCGACGTGTGTGCATTGTCTGAACCATCTTTCATTCTTATGATAATCCCTTATCATCTTTGTGGCACGGTCAAGACGATTATATATAATATTCTTAACCCCCCAAAAAGATGATCATAACGCTACGCGAGAGTCCTTTCATATAAAACCCGAATCGACGGTCGCACCCCTACATCCTCGGACCGAGGTTTAGCTGTTATGATAGCAAAGTAATGAGAAATAATATTATCGTATTAAAATACCGTGGAATTCCCGCACTCACTGATGCAGTGGGACGCAGTGACAACCAATATGCACGATGAAACATTATGCATCGCACTCCAGCACAAACCGTTCAGGTGGTTAAACATGTTTTCCACGTCACAAAGTATTACAGTACCAAGTAAATCCGATCCGATTTCAGGGTATCAGCAAAGTCCCAAAGGTCATTAGCACAAATATAGAAAGGCAAAGGCCTTAAAACCCCCTCTGAGCTCAGCAACGAGCATGTTTCGTGGACTTTCGAAGGAGGTTTAAAAAATTTGTAAATTAATATTATTTTTCTTTCTATTTAGACCTAACCCCCTAACCGGGATCGATCCGGGAAAATGATTCCAGTAATGATAAAGATAAAATCATGTTAATTTTTCTATATTATGGATATCAGTCTATGGGCCTCTTGGATCTCGACCTGTTGCGATACGATTAACATAAGTATAATATATATATATATCCATCTTTCTCGGCTCATACCATTGTAAATATTATAAATTTTCTTATGAATATTCCCAATGGTTTAAGTGGTTTCGTGTTGTTGTTATTAACATACATATATGTACACAATATGTATAAAGTTACTAACGGCCTGTTGCACAACGGCGGCGGATGACTAGGTGTAATGTTGTTGGTTCAGTGCGACACTGTACACACCACGTTTAATAATATTATTATTATTTATATATGCTGAATTGCATCGATTCGACCTAAAAAAAAAAATTATTTTTTAACGCTTATGACAAACTATTCGACTTAACAGTACATGCGTTTTTATAAACCTACATATTTTTTTGTTTTGTATACACCTATTAGGAGATCCGGATTGCTCGTTAGACATAATGATATTTTCAAAGGCAATAACCTTGTCCGTGTGTACAAAACCTTCTTGTCGTCTTCGAGCAATCGATCTGACCAAAAACAACACTATTGTACTAACTAGTGAGCGGCACACGATTTGTCAAGTCAAAGATAATCAGTTGGGCTAGCAAACAATGGGGCAGCACCAGGATGAGTACGGACAAGTGTGTACGACTCGTTTGTACAGTCAATAGTGTTCGACATGATACGTGGGAACTATTTAATCTTGTGCATAATACATACATTATACACCTATGATGTTGACCTTCAGCAAAGCACGCGCAGCCCAAGTCTAAGACCAATCAAACGATCAAGATGATCCTATACTGTCCCTAAGACGACCGTTGAAGTCAATCACACTCGGCTAAGAAATTTCTGTGTAATTTTAATACATTGACAACAATTCAAGTGCACAGATGGTGAAATTTGAACACACAACGTTCAAACGAGGAACCCTTTAAAGAAATATTGATTACTTGCCATTATCAATGATTTTTGACATGTCTCGAAAATTGTTCTCTTAGGTTGCTATAAAGTCAACAAAACGTGTCAACCGGAATTGGTAATATGCTTCAAGAGCAAAGAACAAATTTTAAATAATTTCAATATAGAAAGTGACCTTAATGAACCGGTGCAATTTTGGACACAACTCAAATGATTCACACGTCATTTCAGATATTAATATTTTCAGGGAATTTATCAGAAACATCAGTGAACATATATATGCTAGACAAAGTAGCATTGTGAAAAATCTAAAAAAGGACATAATATCCAGCCGAGATCTAAATAGTAAATTAAGATTTTTTTCGTTGTTAACCGGTTTATATCGTTTGAATTTTGATATGATGATGTTTTTTTTTACAACCACAATACTGTCACTTAGCCAATAATTTCTGACATAAATTATTATTATTATTACTATGGTTATTATAATACTGGGTAAGTGCGTTTTTTTTTTTTTTTTAAATGCTGAGGTCATACTAGCAATAATTATTAAGCGTGTACACGTTTGAAATTTAGGTTACACGAAATTCGTACAACCAAACGTTTTAACTTATGTTTGTGTTTGCTTAGCACACCAATTTTAATGTGTACACAGGGTTGTGTATTGGTTTCGATTAGCTGGTAAATAAAATAAAATAATAATAAAAAATGTAATTTACGAGCTGTCTCCTAGTGTCTTACGGGTAAATGAATCACGGTGAACTTTTGCAGCAGCGATCCAATCTTTTATAAACTACTATTCACTCAAAGGAGAACTTCATTCCAAAGCGCCCACACGAGCGAAGCCGACCCAAGTGGTTGTGACCGTTAACAGATGACAATGTGACCAGAAGGAGATAATATTATAATACACTGTAGACAACAAATGTTCCATCCTAGTCTATGATTTAATGACTGATTACACTTAATTGTTATGATCATGCGTTTGTACATCATGACATCATACCTTATATAAGTCATTACTTCTTTTAAGTAAAAGGGAAAAAAACAAAAAATGTATAAGTATCATAAAAATATAGTAAAATATACAACTATTTAACAAATACAAAAAAGGTTGTTTTACATGAGATATGGATCCCCCTGTATTAACGGTAAGTACGTGTTTTTTTATAATATATTGAAAAAAAGCCAAACAATTTGTTTTTTAAAACATTCAGAGTTATTTTATTCCGAAAAATCAACACACAAAAACTGTACTTGGATATATTATTGTTTAAAAACAGAACGAATTTACACACATGTTAAGTGTGACGCCAGATATACTAAAAGCAGCCAGTGAAACTGAACTGTGTTTTGTGTAAAAAAAACAAAAAAATATTATTATTATTAAAAAACAAGCCTTTCGTAGGAAAACACGTAGTGATTTTAGTCGAACAAGTTGTGTTTATCATAGAAAAAAATTGTCTAACGCATTTGTTATATCAGATCCGTTAACAGGGAAAACCGTTGCAGTGAAGATTTATCAAAATGGGGGCGTCTTCGTCTATGGTCCAGGTAATATTATTATGCACTATTCCTTCATTTCCATCTACTACAACGGCAAAAGACAAAGTGATGGAAGACGACAGTTTATTGAATCGAATACCCGGCATAGCCATTCTCAAGGAAGTCGAGATATGGAAAGACGGCGAAATCACATCTATCAGTAAGACGTTCGGCGAGGACCCAAAGAAATGGATTGGCAACAGTGGTGACGTAGCCCAAATGTCTTTTACCGCGTTGTGTTGTTTGTATTCTTTAAAAATATCAGATTTCATACAACGAGCAGAAAACGATTTTAACGGATGTAGGCTCCTGTATGGAGCAACGAAACAGCGCAAATGTTGGGAAGATCTAAAAATGCAATTAAAACCGTTGTACTCCGAGTGCGGTGTTCAAATGGCAATGACGGCGTTGAATTATACAAAAATATTCAACGTAAGAGCCGACAAAAACGTGTTGAACGCCATCATGTCGTTTCACTTGTATGTGAACAGTATCGAAGAAAACACACCGGTCGGGGAAACATTTTTCAAAAATTTCATCAACATGAAGATGTACACGAGATATCTGATCGAGGCGTTTGCGGTCCAGAACTGTTCGTGGTCGGCGTTTGACTTGGATCAATTGAATGGACGCACGGTTGACCTTCGCAGTGATCACGAAATTCTAAACGAATTAAACTTACCTGTAACATACTTTAAACGCGAGCACCTAAATCCGAACACACTGTTTTTGGCCAATGTCTCGGCGATCCGGTTAGATCATGATCCAGACCTGGGCAGTCCATTGGGTGACTTGTATGTGGCTTGTGAAGACGTTTATTTATGTTTAATCGGATATTCCA